CTGCCTAGTTAGAACTGTGATTCTTTCACTTTCTGCTGTTGACTTTGTTGGATGCAGGTGTGCAGCAGTACAGTTTCAGGACGAACTCTCTAAGCAAACATATTTGTGCAATAGATCTAGTGCTGTACACTAAAGCATTCTGTTGGTCTTAGTTATGTAATAGACGATGCAAAACATATAAATGCCTTAATTTAAAGGCAGTGTAATAAGTTTATTTATAGAATCAAAGAGTCATTTTTGTTGGGAGGGACTTCTGGAGGTTATGCATCCAACGCCCTGCTGAAATCAGGACCAACTAGGTCACATTACTCAAACTCATCAAGTGTTTACTGTCTCCAAGAATGGAGATCCCCCAAGGGGGTGGTTCTGGTCCCCTGATTCAGTGTTTGACGACATTCATACTGAATTTTTTTCCCCTAATATCTAATCAGAATTTCCCCTGTTGCAACTTGTCTCTGTTGCCTCCTGTGTCCTGCACCATGCATCTCTGGCAAAAGTCTGTCTTTTCTGTACCCTCACATTAGGAAGTTGTAGGCAGTCATAAGTGTCTGAGCAACCTCTGAATAAGTCTGAACAACCCAGTTTCCCATAGCATCTCTTCATCTTGTTGGCCTCTGCTGGACTCACTCCAGTTTTGCTGTCTGTCTTGTATTGGAGAGTCCAAAAGTGAAGATCATACTCCAAGTTTAGACCCACAAGTGTTGAAGAGAAGGGAACAATCCCTTCCTTTAACCTACACTCTTACTAATACAGCCCAGGATGTGGTCGAACTGCTTCATTGCAAGGACTCACTGTTGACTCTTGCTCAACTTGTTGCTTAGCAGGACCCCCTACATCCTTTTCTGCAGATCTGTTTTTTCTCCATTCAGCCCCAGCCTGTCCTGTTTTCTGGAAATATTAAAACCTGATGGAAGGGCTCTTCAGTTGCTTTTGTTGAGCTTCATGAGGTTTGTGCTGGATCATTTCTCCAGCCTGTTGAGGTCCTTCTGAATAGCAGTATACCCTCCAGTGTATTGTCCACTCTCCTGTTGGGTAACATCTGTGAACCTGCTGAGAGTGCACGCTGTCCCATCGTCCAGGTCATTAGTAGAGACATTGAACTGTATTGGCCCTATCATCAATCCCTGAGGGACAACACTTGGACTTTGAGCTGCTGATCACAACCCTTCGATCCTGACACTCCAGCCAGTTTTCCACCCACCTTGTACTCCACTCAAAAATCGTATGCTTGCCTGTGTGCTGGATGCAGCTCTCAGCCATGCAGTTACATGAGTTGTCATCGGAAAGCCAGGCCACCTTTGGCTCTGAGTGATCCTGGGTGGCAGAGGACGACTCCCATGGGCTGCAGACTCAAGGAGTTTGGCCTCATTCTGGTGTAAGGGCAGAAACAAGCTTTCATCCAGCTGGCAAAACAAGTGTGAAGTGAAAAACAGGTTTGAGTGAGGAACAATATTTGGGCAAAGTGCTGGGGTGAGAGAAACACTAGTATACACAGTTTTTGGTTGGGTTGTAGAGAGGGTACTCAACAGACAAGGTCCAAACTGCCATGGTATTAATTAAACCCTATTGGCTATCTGCCAGGATGTTAGTTAAACCTTATTGGCTGTTTATTTAGTAAAATACTCAGGGTTTTTTCCCAAGCATTTGATTTTGGATCTGTGCTGTTTCAAATAGTAATTATTTGTTTCCTGTGTTGACTCCTAAACTTGATTTAAATTACCATTTCAGGCTGATCTGGTAACATGACATTGCAGCTCTTTGTTAAAGTAGTCCTAACATTAAAAACAGAGAACGATGTGCTCTTGCTTCTGTGCAGCTGTTTCACTGCCACCCAGGAGGGACTGCTGCGTGGCTGAGAGGTGGGACGTGTGCAAGAACTGGGCATACTGGTTTGGATACCAGCCTTCCCCTGACTGGGGACAGAAAGTATTGCTGGGAGCATGCATGGGGCAAGACCACAGCTTCCAGGTTGACTCCTGAAATGTTAGCTTAAAACATGAATTAAGCTTAGCCTGGTAAGATGAACAGAGCATGGCAGCAGTTTCCCATGCGCTGTTGGTGAGCATGATCCAAAACCCGTGCAGCAGAGCTGCTGTCACTGTCTGATCCATCTCACTGTGCTGCTGCCTGGCTGCTGGATCTCACCCATGGCGGATGCAGGGACACACGCTGTGGAGGGAGGAGAGGCACCCTCCTTTTGAGTGGTAGCTCACATCTAAATCAGATGCAGAGCATTGCAGATATGTGCCCAGGGGTAGCCTGACTCTGTAGCTGAGCATTGTCTCTGGCCACAATTCTGTTAGTGATCCTAGGCAACAGCTGCCTCTGCTTAAGTAGATACCTCTTTTCTGGCATGCCAAATGTAAATGAAAAGGGAAACAATACACTTTTTTTCATCTCTTATATTTGGAACCATAGCAGTGTAGTTGAGGATGAAGCTGTTCTTTGCACAGTATTGCTCCTGGGTGCAGCTTGGTCCTGTTGCAAGGCTGTTCCCCAGCTGTAACACAAAGCATTGAATGTTCATTCCTGCCTCTCTGCTGGTAAGGAGGAGTAGTTACAGCCTAAAATGAAGCAACTTTATAGTAAAACTCTGTTTCTAAAGCCAAAGTGAGTCTTGAAAACCAACTCCTTCATAGTAACAAAGGGAGAAGCAAAGAAAAGAGGAGCTGCTTTTTAGAAAATCCAATTTCTGGGAGAGATGTCTGAAACATTTAGGCTTCTCCCTGAACCTTTCTCCAGATGCAAAACCTTGCTGAGGAGGGAACTGGGGAGGGAAGTTACTTCTAAATATGACAGGTGGTGAAATGCAGGGTCAGAGCTGGGATTTATTGAAATGCAGTAACGTTTTGTGGAATGTTAAGGATGTAGCCAAGCAGGGACAAAAATCCTTTGTCTTTTTAATTCTAATATTTTTCCCCCCACAGGTATAGCCTTTACAGACCTCCCTGTAAGTACACCTATTTTCAGTATTTTAACTAAGGATGCAAACAGAAGGGAGGGGGAAGAGTATGGGGGTGTGACCTTTTTTTTTTTTTTTCCCCCCCCTGTTTGGTGCCCTGTTAAAAATGGTAACGGACATTACTGAATTATATGGATGCTTCTTTTTCTGAAACTTCGTAATCCTGTGGCTGGGTTTGTGGGCTACTCACATGCCTCCTCTCATCCCTCACTACCTCTAAGAATATGTTGCTCCTTCTCCTGGAATTAAAGCAAGGATTCAAACTTCATTACAGGTCACTGTCTTCCAAATGCAGCTTTGACTGTGGGGAGTTTAAAGTCATTGAGTAGCCTCTCATGTCCCATCATCAGAGAGCCCAAAAATGTCTAATGATATTATTCTCAGCTTCTTCCTGTCTCATCCAAGTCTGGCAGCCATGGTGGAGTTGTTCCCTTTCCACGGTGTGGTTAGGGAAGGGTGTTTCTGAGAATGAAGGTCAGGCTCAGGTGTCTCATTGCACAGGCTTTTGTCCAGCCTCTGCCCATGATGAGTAACCAGCTTGTGGAATTGCTGGAGGAATGTATTTGGCACCCATGTGGGGTTGATAGTTACTCCGCTGATTCACCAGCCCTGATACTGAGTTACTCTTGAGTGCAGTGACACCAGCTGAGTTACACCACGCAATAACGTCTAGTTGGGTCTTATAAAAGTGTGACTTTCACTCTGGGTCATGAACAAAAAAATGGTTGCTCCTTTTCAGACCCAAGTGTTCCTGAACAAGGAGCAGGTCTTTAGGAAAAGAAGATGAAACCAGGTCAGGCATACACAAATATATCCACTGCATCCATTTCTCTCATACATAGAACTTCTTGTCCCAGAGGTTGCACTCCTGTCTTTGTATTTTAATAACACCAAATTAATTTCCTCTGAGGAAGTTCTTAGTTTCCATAACTTGTTTAGGCCTCCAAAGTGATCAATTTTCTTGGCTGACTTCCACGTTGTGTGGAAGAAAGCTTGTTTTTCTTTGTTTTGCACCTCCTGCCAAAAAATTTATTTTGTTCCTCTAATTTTTGTAGTGTGAGAAATAATGACTATCACTCCCTGTTCACCTTCCCAGTGGGATTTATGGCTTACAGATCTCTCCCATACCCTAGCCAGTGTCTGTGCTGAAGCATGTTCCAGTTATTTAATTTGCTTTTTCACATCAGCTGTCAATACAGCTTGCTTTTTTTTTTTTTTTTGTTCCTAGGCTTTTTGAACCTGGTAACGTTGCAGTGCGTTCTAAACCAGAAACCCTCTTTATGTGGGTTGTTTCACAGTAGTTTATTCACTTGGTCCAACTACAATTTATTAAAGTAAAAGAATATTTTACCTGTCCATGAATATTAACCTTTTGACATGAGGTCTTGTGACAAACTTGCATCCATGGCAAGAAGACATTTCTATGATACACCCCTTAGTTTTAGGTGCTCTTTGTTTTCCCTGTGGATATAGATTACATTAGGAGTCACAGTTTTACTATATTCCCTCTAATTTTTTCACCGCTTTGTCTTCTCTTTGGCTAGACTGCTTCTCTTTGTGAGATGAGAGCAGTCTTCATGGGCATAGATAGGTAGATAGATAGATAATTACTGTGTAGGCTCCTATCAATCAAAAATAGCTATCAAACACATGTACCATTGTTTTGTTGTTTACAGCTAAAGTGTTGCTGTAGGGCTTCACAGCACCAATTTGGCAGGCAGGAATTACCTGTCCTGCTTAGCTTACCTTGCACCCTTTTGATCCAGGAGTACACAGTGAGCTGATGTATACGTTTACTGTGCACTTGTAGGCTGTTAACACTGGTGTTAAGTCTCTGTTACAAATAGGGGATGAACAGCTGGGGAAGATGCATGGGAGCAGACCAGACAGAAGGGTTCTTGTAGCAGTGAGGTCTTGCAGCGCTGCTGAGATTGAATTCAAAACCCTCCTGAGCCCAGGACATCCTGCCATCCTGCTGTTTCTTGATCTCACCAGGTCATCCTTACAGGATCTCATGCTTGTTTGTATGTCCTGTGCAGAGAGGATGTTGTTTTAGTGTTAAACTGGCGGAAGATCTGGTCAGGTGTTTTTTGGGATCAGCTATTCACATGCCTTGTGGCAGGGTTTCCAATGGTTAGATGGTATCTCTGTGCCTTTTACCAGCCAGAGTTTGCGGAGATGTTTTCCATGGAAGTCTCCTTCTGGCCTTTACAGCAGCAACTAATCCATAACACTTCTTCGGGGCCAGGAAGGAGAACAGTGGATGCCCTATAGGCCTCCTGCTGTTGAGAATTATCCTCCATGGGATAATTTCTCTTTAAAAAGAGGGCAAGAGAAGCTTGACTGGGTCATTTCACCCCCTGACTGTGGATGTGAGCAAGGACAGGAGACTTCTGCCTCTGTGTGGATTTTGGACGTTCTTCTCCATGTGCTAAATGGCTCAGCTGCTGTGTTGGCAGTTTCATTCTAAGGATGCCTGCACCTGACTTCCATCATTCCCATCCTCTTTTTCTAATATCCTTCCCTTGAATTACTGCCCTCTTCCCTCGCCCTTGCAGACGCTTATGTATTCTATTCCTCTTCTGGTCCTTTTTGCTCCCTCAGTCCACGGCTTCTTGCTTGCTCTTCCAAACAGTTAAGGTTACTGCCCTATCCTGAAGAAGGGGATGCCAAACCCAAGATAGGCTTTTGGTTTAACTATAATGACTATTGTCAGAGATTGTAGAAGTCTTGATGTAGTAGGGAATTAGAAGTTGATATAACGTGCAAGTGGTATTTTTCATTTATTATAGCATTGTGATCTAGGCTCGAACACAATATCCATTCATTTTAAGGTAAAGAAAACATCCATCATATGAAAGATATAGAATGTAATCTGTGTTCTTCACCTGCTAAAGCTGCAGTCTAAAAACTTAACTGCAAACAGGAACGGAAACAGCAGTCTTAACCTGAGTGACCCTTGAGGTTCTCTGGTTTGAGCAGCTTGACATGCATTTTTTGGCTCTGATTCTGTTCTATACCTAATTACTGAAATCCCCTGGGGAGGGGCTGTAGGTTGAAAGCTTTTCCTTGCATTACAGCCTATGTGGTGTTGGAGCTGACTGGTAGTACACATCAGTGAGAACCTTGACCAGTAACCTCCATTACTTTTATACCTTTCAAGCTTAAATAACTTTTAGGGTTGGCATGTCAGTGAGATTACCCAAGGAATTAATTTGACTCTTCAAAATGTTACCAGTCTAGAAATTGTTTCCTTGATGTGCATATTGCAAAATTCCCCTTTCAGAGGCAAATGATGAAGACAGTACTTTACAATATTTGCAATACTAGGAAGTTGAAATGGATACCTTCAGTTGAAAACCACATTTTGTTGTGATAATTCTCACACACGGTGAGGCAGATTTGCTTCGGCTTGTTTCAGTTCTCTCTAAAGAGTGTTTGCATCTGTACAAATATGCAGTGAGGGAAAGAATCACATTTTGGTTTAGCACAGGTTGAAGTTAATACAAAAATAACTGCTTGCAAATAGAAATGAATATCCCACAGAGGGAGTTTTCCCCTTTTTCACAATTTAAGTTAATGCTTAGGCCTAACTCTCTTATTTACACAAGCCCGTATCAGGTTTATCCTGCCTGGTGGTTTGCTGAAACAATAGGAAATGTAAAAAAGCAGAATGTGGAAGAGCTTCTAACTTCCAGGTATTTTGGGAGTCTGATTCCTGGCTTTGGAAGTCCTTGGTTTCATAAGATAATAATAAATTAATAAAAAAGTCTAAAGTATGGACTGTGGAAAAGATCTGATCCCTCATTAGAGATATTTTCTTGTCAGCTAGGTTTGAAAGAAGGGATAGACTGACTTTAAATAGGATGTTTTCCTCTGGTAGCTCCTCCTTCATCATGCTGTATTTTCTTTGCACACCTCTCTAACCCAGTGACTTCCTTGGTGTGAGAATAGGAAAGGAGGTGTGCTGAGTCAGCAGTGATGCAATCCTGATTTCTGATTTCAATTTCCAGCCTGTATTTATGGATTCATTTTTTCCTTTGTTTTTTGAGATTTGATAATTTCAAAGGTAGAGCAGGTTGGTCAGGACCTTATCCTGTTCAGTTTTGAAAATCTCTGAGGACAGAGATGCTACATCTCTCTGGAAACCTGTTCCAGTCTTTAATCATCCTTACAAGGAAGAATTTCTTCCTTATGCCCCATCAGAACTTCCCTGGCTGCAACTTGTGCCCATTGACCTTTTGCTGAGCACCTCTGAGAGGAATCTGTCTCTGTCTTTTTTTATCACCTCCCTTTTGGGGAGCAGAAGGCTTGCAGTTAGATTTTCCCTTTTGCCTTCTCTTCTCCAAGCTAATTCCCTCAGCCTCTCCTGTATGCCATGTGCTCCAGCCCTCTGACCATCTTAGAAGAACTGCTGGACCCTGTTTGTAAATGTCTGTCTTGTCCTGGGGATGTGGGTGTGGAGGGAGTGAACCAAGTAGGTACTGCAGATATAGCCATGCCAGTGAAAGCAGAGAGAAATAATCAATTCCCACGACATGCTGGTTCCATTTTTGCTAATGTGATCAGGATTCTGCAGAGTTCCACCTCGTAACAATCTTAATACCTTTAGTAAAAAGTAAAATCCAGAACTACAGTAGGTCTCAAGAGGAGATGAATGACATTGCCAATGTTTCAGGCCTCTGCAATAGTGAAGAATTAGTTGAATATATTTTCCAGATAATTGTAGGAAAGCCCATGCCCCTTGCTATAGAGGAGGAGAGAATCATCCTAGCTTTCTTTAGGATGACCGTCTAACCACCAGTAGTAGTTCTCGCTGATTTGACCTGGAGAGAGAGGTCTGCTCCTCCACTGATCTAACGTCTGGCATGGATTCAACCAGGAGCAAGACACCACAACCAGCCACCTTCCAGACTTCACTTTCACTACGTGCATCCGTGTGCCTTGCCCAGTGTCTGGCTTCTGGCTGTGGCAGTCTCCAGTGAGTTAAAGCAAAGTGAAAAAACCCAACACCAAACAGTTCATGAGTGGCATGAGAGAGATTTCTTCCTACACCCTGCAGGCTATCAGCAGATGCTCCAAAGCAGAGGGTTAGTGAAGTTTGTGTGACAAACAGAAAAGTAATTTGTGCTGCAGAAAAGTAACATGACAGCAAATGGAACATGCTCTTAAAAAATGTGATCCAGAGTGAGAACCAGGCATCTCTGTACCTTTTCTGCTGCCCTTTCTTTTTCCCATATTTAAGTGGGCTCAGGGATTCAGTTTGTATCCATAAGCTTATTCTTAAAATAGCCTGAACTGAGAGAACTTCTAGACAGACTTTTACCACCTGTTTTCAATTAGATCATCTTCTTTGGAAGCTGAGTTACTGGCTGAATTTTAGAGGTATTTTCACAGTGGTAACCTTTTTCTTTTCCCCATGTTTCGGGGCAAAGGAGTGTCAGAACTCCCATTTGGATCCATATGCTTGTTCTTAAAATTAAATTCATCTATCAGTAGTGGAATTTCTTGTGTGGATGGCTTGCTGTGTTGGGATCATCAAAGACCTAATCTCAGACCTCCACTACCATCCATTCCCTTTTCATCAAAGATGTAAAATATTTAGACAGCAGCTTCCAAGGAATAAGAGAGTTCAGTTGAAACAGTGTAGAACACTTAGATCTGCTGATTGAGATGATGCCCCCTTTTTTTTTTTTTTTTTTTATTATTATTTACTGACTGTTGAGCTTTGGTAGAAATTGCAGAAAACTAAGTCAGAAAGTGGACATGCCATTGACAGCAGTTGTGGCATTGATCAGACTGCTGGGGGATTGATCCCATTGTTATGTTTTTATGCAATAGCTTCTAATAACTGCACAGTAAGTCATGGGGTTCCTTGAGGTGTGCCTAAAGGGCTGTTGCCCCTTCCTTTTCCATTACATGTTTCAATTTAAAGAGCAGCTCTTTTGTCTTACCAAACCATGCAACTGGAACCAGAAAGAGAAAGCTGGGTTTAATATAGGTTTCTTTTTCTTCCTTCCCAGTCAAATCTCTACCCTACAGTGGGTCTTCAGACTCCAGGAGAGATAGTTGATGCCAACTTCGGGCAGCAGCCATTTGTGTTCGACATTGAGGACTACATGAGGGAGTGGCGAGCGAAGATTCAGAGCACCATTAAGCGGTTTCCCATAGGAGACAGACTAGGCGAGTGGCAAGCCATGCTGCAGAAGTAAGTCACTGTTCTGGTGTTCAGCTTCTTTTGTTTTCTTAGGCTTTAAATACTTTTTTTTATGCTAATTTATGCTTTCTTGTGGCAAAAATTGGCAGTCAGTGCATTTTGCTCAAATTGTTTTACCTTCTGTTTTGTTGTTTAATAGTCTCTCCTGTGTAGATTGCTGCTGTTTCAAATGTAAAAGATATGGGAGAAGTTTTCAGCCAAAGACTGCATGAAAGCTTGTAGGAATGGAAGAACATACACTTTGAGGTGATGCACTGGGGGAAGGGGAGTGGAGAGGACACCGTAAAAACTCTAACATAGGAGAAAAGCCAGGACGTAAGTCAGCTGAATTTAGAAATGAAAGAGCAAGAAATAGCCTAAACCAAAGGTTTCCAAACCCAACCTAACTGGAAACACAATTATAGCACTTTATGTATTTATGAGTATTGAATACATTTCCCATTGCAAAAAGGGATTGAGTGGAACTTGATGAGATCAATTGACAAGAGTTGTCAGAGGACAGGAGTATCTTTTGCCTGAAGGACAGAGTTGACTAAGGCTCCACAGCTTGGAAAGAGGTAATTGAGGGAGATGGACTGTAGTTGTATGTCAGTCATTTATATACACCGTGAAGAGTATGGCTAGGAAGTGATTATTCACTGTTTCTCAAAACACAAGAATTAGAGAAAAAGCACCTTCTGGCTTAAAAAAAAAAAGTAATATTTTTTTCACTAAGTATATGGTGAAACTGTGGGACTTGCTACTGCAGAAAAGTTGTGGTAGTTTAAATATAATTGTATTTTAAAAGATGCATTTTTAAACATTCACAATAATTCATGGAGGCCAATTCCCTAGTTATATTTTAAACCCCCAAATTTATGCCTGTTTCTTCTCTTTCTGATTACAGATAGCTCTGTGTTTTACCTTTTTATTATATTCTTTCCCTAAACACCTGATACTGGTCACTGTCATCCAGGAGGCTTAGATGCAGAAATGATTGCATCCATGTGACTGTTCTTGTTTTCTGCTAGTCTTGTATTTAGTTATTTGCAGATAATTCAGGCCCACCAGAAAAGCCTTTGAAAAGCAACTAGCAGAAGCTATTGAAAATAATAATAATATCTTTCTTCGAGAAAATCAGGAGCAGGAGGCCTGCCAGAGAGTTTGTAGGGCCTGTAGATGATTGCAGTATAAAAAGAGACCTTGGGGAAGATAAGACCATATCCAGTTGAATTCTTTGCCTGTGTGTCCAGAAATCAGGTAGGTTGTCATGCTGGGATGCTTCTTTGTGAGAAGAAGCTGCATCTGGGATTGAAGTGTCTGTCAAAGAAGCACTGAAAGAAGTAGGTGAGGGGAAGTGGAGAAAGTCTCTGGGATCAGATATTTACCCAGAGTCCTAACAGGACTCAAGGAGAAAACAGGTGAGCTTGTGGCTGTGGAACAAAGTTTCACTCCAAACTGCCTAGGTTCAAGAGAAGGGGAGGATGGTGCATATGGTGCCACATTTCATGAAGGGCTTCAGAAGAGAGTCAGGCAGCGATGGGCTGAGAGAACCTTGTCGTCTGCCTTGGACAAATCCATAGAAGCACTACTGAAAGGTAGATGCATTGGGCACGTGGAGAAATAGGACATGGGTTTTGCAAAGAGGAACCAGCAGACATGTGGATATGATTCTTGGGCTGCTGTCTTTGTCTTGGAAGTCCAGAAGGCTTCTGAGAGGTTCCCTTGCTGCAAACTAATGGGGGACTGCACAGCCAGAGGCTGAGGGCACATGTCCCAGTGTGGATTTTAAGTTGTTTAAAAGAGAGGCAAGGCAGGGAATGAGTAGGTAAGGGAGGGTCATTTTAGGAGGGGGAGACTTTAGAGAGACTTGTATGTGCTGATCGTGTGTGTGGTGTTGAGGGTGTTCAGAAATGGCTGGGAAGAAGGCACCCTCCAGAAAGCAATGAGATTTTTGGGTTATGATGAATCATTGCACTGAAATGTAAGCTCATTTTTTTTGGTAGTAAGCAAGAAAAAAAAAGTTAGGGTTCGTTAGGAGAAAAATAGAGGACAAAAATAATTCTGTCACTGTGTGAATAAGTGGTGCACCCTTAACTTGAATACCGTGTGATGTTTTAGTTCTTGTCTCCAAAAGTATGTAGTAGAAGTGAGAAAAGCATGGAAAAATACCCAGGCAGGATATGGAAAGATATGGGGTGGGTGTATGGCAAGGAACAAATATACAGACCCACAGTGTTGAAGGAAATGATTGTGAGGGGTAAGGCAGAAATGTGAAAAAAATATCTTGAATAGCCTGCAGAAGGTGCTGAAGGAACAATTGTTCATTGTTTTCTCTACTGCAAGAATTAAAGGGCATCAAGTGAAGTTAACCAGATGGCACATTCAGAAAAAATAAAGGAAGGTTTTTTTCACACTCTCTGCCATAGGTACTGTGAAAACAGCATGGATTCAAAAAGTGACTGGAGATGTTATTAGAAAAAAAAATCTAGCAGAGCTACGACGTAGAGAGATACCACCTCTAGGATGGGAAGTATCTGACAAATCATTGGGAGCTGGAAGGGCTATGGGGAAAAGTATCATTTCATATGTACCTTATTCCTTTATTTTTTCCTAGGCTTTTGCGAGTTGGGAGGTACAAGTACTGGACTAACTGGATGTTTGGTCTGACCCAGCATGGATGTGCTCAGAGACTTAAAACTTTGTGAAGTTGTTGACTTTAATGTTAATTTTCATTCTGATGTACTGGATTGTTGACTTTATGGGGTCATTTCAGTCTCTGCAACACATCTTATCAGGCTGTGGGAAGACAGGATCCACTTTTGGAAAGCTTGTTTATCAGCCAAAGAGAATGAAGAGGTTTATTGATATTTAAAGGGAAGTACTTAGTTCTTAGTGCTCAAAAGGCAACTTACTCAGAAAAAGGTGTGTGCCCTGCATCTTTGAACATAAAAGCACCTGCACTGGGTGAGAGCACTGGTCTGTCAGGCTTAGTTTTATGAATATGTTAATAGCACAGGTTCCTGCAGCCCTAGAGTGCTTTTTCCTTTCCCTGGTAAAACTGACCATTTTTTGCCACCCCATTACTTAACTGAATATTTAGCCATGCTAGGCCTTTCCTTTTATCACATGGTAACACAGTTTCTTTGAGAGGCTTTGCTGAAAGACTCTGTGAAATATCTTTGGACAACCAAGTGGACTGCAAAAGTATCTCTTTTCTGCCTGCTTCCAGACTCCCTCCAAAAATGTCACCAAATTTGAGAGCCATGACTTTGCTTTACAAAAGCTGTTGATTCTTCTGCAACAGGACCAGTGTCCTTGTTTGTTCCTTGTGTTCTCCAGAATTGTTTCTTCTGATGTGCATGGTGGAGGTGTCAGGGTCACCAATCTGGAGTTCTTCATACCTCCTTTGGACTTCTTTTTAAGAATCAGCATTACCTTTCCCATCTTCCTCCTCTCCATAGGCAGGATTAAGTCAGAGCTCATCCTCACCTTAGTGGTACAACTGTTTCAGGTTGGAGCTCCTTTGGAGCTCTTGGCACAATGTTATCTCATCCTGTGGCTTTGGTGGGTTTTGTAGGATCTTATTTAATCTCTAACCATGCAGTTAAGCATCACAAGATGCATCACATCGTGCATTCCCTGTGTTGCACTCCTGGATACACTGTCACCAGAGAGGCTGATCTGACAAGGTTTTCAAGTGCTTGAAACCTTGAAAGGGACTCACATGGGTAACTCATCTTCTTTGTGTGTTGTTACAGTCTTATAGGATCTCTAATCTTTTTAGCTCTTGCCATGAAGAATCCAAGTAGGAGTCATCTGAGACTTGAGATCAGCTGGTGTGGTTGATTATGGGAGGAGGAACGGTGTAGGTCCCTGTCCTGGTTTCGGCTGGGATAGAGTTAATTTTCTTCCTAGCAGCAGGCATAGTGCTGTGTTTTGGATTTAGTAGGAGAAGAATGTTGATAACATGCTGATGTTTTTAGTTGTTGCTGAGTACTGCTTATGCCAGTCAAGGACTTTTTTCAGCTTCCCATGCTCTGCCAGGCGCACAAGAAACTGGGAGGGGGCACAGCCAGAATAGTTGATCCAAACTGACCAAAGGGCTATTCCATACCATATGACGTCATGCTCAGTATATAAACTGGGGGGGGTTGGCCGGGGAGCAGCGATCGCTGCTCGGGAACTGTCTGGGTATCGGTCGGTGGGTGGTGAGCAATTGCATTGTGCATCACTTGCTTCGTGTATCATTATTATTATTATCATTATTATACTGTTACTATTATCATTACTATTTTACTTTATTTCAATTATTAAACTGTTCTTATCTCAACCCAGGAGTGTTTCTCACTCTTACTCCTCCGATTCTCTCCCCCATCCCATCGGGGTAGGGGGAGTGAGCGAGCGGCTGCGTGGTACTGAGTTGCTGGCTGGGGCTAAACCACGACAGTCCCTATTTCTGATAAAGCGGGAGGACTTTGTATTGTTCATTTGAGAATCCAAGTGGTACCATGCAGAATGAGGAGAACTTTATGTAATTTGTAGAGAGAAGCGTGCAGTCAAGTTCTGTTTTGAAGCAGAAAAGCCACAGTTGGTACAAGCCTATCTGCCACCACCATGGCTGCTCTAGGTGAAAGAAGCACCCCTAGGTGCAGCACAGAGACAGCTGCTCCTGTGATTTGAACACTTCTGCTCTCAACAAGTTTCAACCATGGCTCCCAAGCGGTAAAAACTATCCCTTTGGAGAACCTGGGATTCTGAAATGTTTTTGTTGTCTGCATGAACATGTCACATAGGTCGCAGTGGAGTCTGATAACGTTCCCCCAGAACTTCAGGAGAGGTACCCATGGAAGCAGACATGCTGCTGAATGTTTGAGAGTGTGCAGCACTGCTGTAGTAAGTAGCTGAGACACGGAACTGATAAGTCATTGCTGAAAATTAGCCTGGCATAGAATCATAGAACCGTTTAGGTTGGAAAAGACCTTTAAGATCATCCAGTCCAACCATTAAACTACCATTACCAAGTCTACCACTAAACCAGTTAAGGGCAGAGTAGCAATTCCGTGTTTCCTGGCTTGGTGGCTGGATTATTTTTAATGAAAGTAAAAACTAGGAATCATTAAAGTTGGAAAGGATCTCTGTAGTGACCAGCATGTAATACTGCTGTGTACCCACGCAGGGACGCTTCCTGTTGTCCCAAAGATGGGTTCTTTGCCCGGTGTGCAAGAACCAGTTCACACAATGAGTTGAGACAGTTGCTTTATTCCATTTCTGCACAGAGATGGGTGCTAGGTGGTAATTCCACAAAGCTAGCACACTCCGTTGTCCTTGCTTCATATATTTATACAGTTAAACAAAGTCACTGTGCATACTGTTAACACCTACTTGTTAGTCATTGGTTATTTCTGCTTTTGCTTTGGCACCTACTTGTTCGTCGTTGGTTATTTCTACTTTCACTTCAATTTAAAGTCATAGCTCCCTTTAAAATCACTACATATGCTCAGTGAGTAGGGGTCTCCCTTTGGAGGTGGCTAGCTCTTCCAACAGAGGTGTGGTTTTTATATTATTATATTTAGCTGGTTCACTTAGGGGACACTAATTGGTGGATCTCGCTGACTAGTAGAAGAGGCGTAAAGGGGAGTTTTGACACTCAAGGATATATGTTCATTGTTCTAGAGAGCTCTTGGGCTTCTGCTCTTCATTATAGATATCCTGGCGCCTATTATCTTTAGTACATTCCTTCAACAATCAGTCATCACTGTGATGCCACAGGCAGAAGTGGCGTAGGGAGGAGCTCAGATTTTGTGCAGCTTTGTAGAGCATTTAAATCTTCACAGTGTTGAGCCTCTAACTCTGGCTACTGAATTACACTGAAGCAAGAGCTGGCTTTTCCCTTCTGTTCCTGCCAGCCTGGATCACTGTGTTCAGTGTTTCAGCCTGGCTGAGCCAGGGCACCCTGGCTGCTATGCTTGACACAGGGAGGGATGCACTTTATTACACCTGTCTGTACCATGCCAAGGGCAAAGGGCATGCCTTGTACCAACAGTGGTCAGAAGCACTTGTTTTAAAAATTACACACCTGCTTACAATGTTACATCTGAAAATTATTGCTGATTCATAAAATACTTCTTCCTTGTACTGAAAGTAGCTAAGTTGAATGCATGTTTTGAGCTGTGACTTGATTGGATCAAGACCAGCTTCATCATGAGAAGCCTATTTTGGGATTCATCACTAGAAGCCTTGAAATCTTGTGCTGGCATTTCAGGTTTTGTTAAAAGTCCAGTGAGCGTTAATACTTACCTGATATATCCTGGGAAGGCCCAAGCACTTTAGAAACAGTCTGTTCAGAAAGACGTTTTTGTTGTGTTTGTTTTCTGACAGTCATACTACTTCCTTGCCCACCCCTCAACGTTTTTTGAAAATGCAACTTAATGTTTGTAAAATCAATGCTGACAGTCTACTCTTTGTAAATCAGCAGATAAAAGTATCTGTGAACTTGTAGAATTCATAAGGAGATTCAACTACAAAAGATAAAATTGCTGGCAAAATAAGTGATGGAAGAAATTCAGGACCAGAATCTTTCTTTGAGATCTACTTGAAAGCCATGAGCCTCTCTGAGGTTCAGATTTTATGTCTATATAGGATGTCGCTGGCAGTAACACAGTACTGAGCTCTTACAAGTCACCCTTGGACAGCAGTAATTAAATAAATAAATACTATGTATGCATTGGGAGTCTTACTTTGGTTTTTTTTTTTTCCCATAAGGTGAATTTAGAGCCTCCCTCCTGTTTGCTGAGGACCAGGTGCCTGTCTTATAAATTTATACTGTCGGGACCCAGAAGTAGGACCCTGGTTATGTCCTAAGCAAGCTGAGTTTGATCACTGAAATTGCAACTTATATTGTGTTGATTTTTTTTTTTTTTTTTAGCTCCAGTGTGATTACCCTGTTTTACCAATGCCTCTTCATCTGTTTGTATTTTCTTATTTTCTAGTATGGTTTCATCATATTTGGTTCATCATGGGTACTGTTCAACAGCAACTGCCTTTGCCAGAGTCACAGACACCACAGTCCAGGAAGAACAGACCTCAATAAAGAATAGACAAAGTAAGTCTCTTGGGTAGTTGTTCCCAAAGTGTGGCATGCTGGCCATGCGTTATCTTCAAGACTGTGCAGAGAAAATGAAGTGCTGTGGAAGTACAAGAGTTACTCCACAACAGTACAAAGCTGTCCACAACACACTGCTGACTTAGTGTTGCTGCCTGTGGGTCAGCAGAGCTTGGGGACCAAGGCTGGGAGTGTTTTTCCCGTCGTCACTGTGTCCCCTCCAGCCTCTGCTGTCTTTGCCTGAAGAGCTGCTCTATTCTTTCCTTCGCCTATCTGCTCTGAGAAATGACCTACATGCCTGGCAGTGTTGTATATGCTAAGTGGCCTCAACAACTTGGTTAATTTTCCTCAATCTTGCTGAAAATGAATAGGAGAATCCTGGAAGAGATGAGGTGACCCTCAGCTTTGAGTCCAGCAGTTTCACACATCAGGCTAAATGTTATACCCAGGGCAGAAGGTGCTTTCTTGGAGGTAGTGCCAAATTGGTGGAGAATGGAACTGATTACCTTGGACTTTACCTGAACTGAGGTCACTGTGCACCAGAGATCCCTTTGGATTTGGATTCTTTGATGCACTGTGTTGCAGCAGGGGCAGTTCCATTAGGTCATAGGGACCCACACACATAAATTTTTTTTTTTGACTACAGATCCCAGAGTTAATGAGTCTTCCAGTCCCTTCACACATTTTGTCTTCAGGTAAATTTTTTGCATACTAAGTGTTTTGCAAATTCACAGCCAACATGTTTAGCTCACGCTAGGTGAAGAATTTTGTATTCTGTGTCTGTATTTGGTTACTGTTGTTTCCTCTGAAGTGGTTCATCTCTTAGTTGGTAAAGTTGTAAGTACTTTTGGTTCCTGCAGAATAAGGCTTGCAGCTTTCTCCTGCTGTACTTTTTTTTTTTTTTCACCTTCTCTATTCACAGGCTCAGACTGCAGAGCCACAGGACATTGGTGTGTTTTCTGCATTCTCCTGGCTGTTGAATACAGGCTGCGTCCCACTCTGTGCATTTCCCTTCCCTTTGTGAACCATTTCTCATGTGACTGTTACGTATCAGGAGCATCATGCCCCTTTGTAACTCACTCTCCATATATTACATACACTTAGCTAGCATTCAGGTTCATTTGGGGACCCTGCTTAGTACCCAGAATAACTTGTAGTTGCTGCCCGTTAGTGCTGATGGGCTTTGTGCTTTCCAGGTCACGCATTATGCAACCCTGACCCCAGCCGGTGTTCTTGCTGGTGTGGTTTTAATTGGTAAAGTCTTATGGGAGGCACGCAAGACAGTGCAGTCTTGCTTGTCTGAGGACAGGTGACAAGGCAGATGGAGGGAAGGAATATAGACCTCTGAAGTTGGGGCTTAAATAAAAGGTATGAGGAAAACACAGATGGGAAAACAAAAAGAGGGGAAAATACAAAAGGCAGTGACATCTGTGAGAGTTGCCAAACAAGGCAAAGAAGAGAGCTGTGAAAAGCAGTGAGACATGAAAACGGACGTGCCAGTCAGTAAAAGAAACAGCAAAATGAAGGAGACTGTGCAACACACATTGGTGTGACAGCCATGTCTTTGGTTTTCAGTTCCAGCTTCAATAACAAGCAAGTAGACATTGAGAAGTGGGAGCCAAGACAAGTCATTGCGTATTGTTACTGGGGATTGCTAATAAGGATAACAGGGCTGGGCTTTCAACTGCTCATGATTTGCAAAAGTCACAGCCTGTTGTTATTAGAGACTCTGCTTGCAAAGCACCTCACAGGCAATTCAAAACCTCCTCTGTGTTGTTTGTAAGGAGTCCTGGAAAAACAGAGAGGGAAGTGCAATGCATTTTTTTGTTTTAAGTACATTTAGTTTTTAGTTTTAAGTACACTTAGAAAAAAAATAAGATGTGAACCTCTGTAGATCAGCAGCTGCTCTGAGTTGTCAGGGATGGCATCTGAAGTTAAGTCTTGGCACTTGTGTCTTCTGACCCACTGAAGGAACATACGTGGGACATGAACACCCAGGAATACAATGCCTTGTATCTTTGGACCTCCTAGAAGTGTACAACTTGAGCTGTTTCTAGCTTAGTCAGTAGCTGATTCTTGGAGCTAGCTTACAGGTGCCACATCCTCATTGGAGGTCAGGTTACTTCTCTGGGAATACTTGAGGTGGGACTTGCAGGAAGCCAGTTTTGTTGGTATAACTATTTCTACTTAGAGGTAGGGGTATTGGGGAAACAGTACTGTGCTGTGGTTTAAGCCCACAGACCCTCTAAGGATACTCTGCTTATGTGATGCTCAGCTATACATACACTTCCAAGTGTGAACCAGCCAGAGGATGTAACATGGGGCTGACCTAGGGGCTTCCCCTCTGAAATTGTCATTTCCTCAGCAACCTCCTTACTCCCATCTAGCTGTCCTGTCCTGCTTTCTTTTCCATTGCTGCATAGCTCTGTGACTAATGGACTAAAGTCCCAGAGCACCCCACCCCAGCGCACCCACTTCATCTTTCAGATCTTTCTGTTCTTGGTGTTTCTGAGCTACTAACAGATTCTCCTTCATTTTCACAGGCTTTTCCTCATCTGTAATAAACAGAATGCGGTCCCCAGTTCTCCCTAGCCATTGTGCAAGGTGGTAGTGGAGAGCTGTGTGGCATACGTGAGAAAACTCTTCTGGCCATTCCTGTTGGCCGGTCCTGTGTGTCAATAGGTCTCCTTTTGCTTTCAGGAATACAGAAGCTAGTACTAGCAGGCAGAGTGGGAGAGGCTATAGAAGCCACCCAGCAACTCTATCCTGGTCTCCTAGAACATAACCCCAACCTGCTCTTCATGCTAAAGTAAGTATGAATAGCTTTATGCTCCCTAATGCTGAAATGTGTAGATGAAGGAGAGAAGAAAGAGGCTGTTCAGCCATCCAGTCCAGCTGTACACCTTGGTCTGAATTCAGACTGTTTGAGATCCCTTTGGGAGCAGGTGGGAAAGGACATAGGTTCAGTCCTTTGCACAGTGCTTGTAGCAATGTAGATGTAGCCCTTTGGTTGCTGCTCAGACCCAGTATGGCTTTGCCTCATGAGGTCAGGCAGAGGTGGGTCTACCCAGCCTCCTGAGTTGTATAAGGACAGTCCCCAGTAAAGGTAAATGGGGAGCTGTCCTCACTGTTACTGTGGATACTGCATTTTTTACCCTCCCTTGTCTATTTTCCATTGGCAACCACTATTTCTAGGTTGTTGAAGTAGTGGGGGAACTATGTTGTTTCGCAGATATAGTGTCTTCTCCCTGAAAAAAACCCCACAGTTCAATTTTGGAGTACCTGCAGAGGTGGTGGAGATGAAAGGATGCTGTAAAGGAACAGCTTCTTCTTAGCACAATGGAAATAAACTTGCTTTTTGGGAATGTCTCAGCATTCATTAGCATCAAAGTTGCAGTTTCTGAACTCCTTCCTCCCATAGCATTATCAGAGCACTCACCATACAAAGCTGCCAGGAGTCTGACATGTCTTTTTCAAAGCCAAGAAATTTAACTCCTAATGCAGTTTCTAGGACTTCTCCACTCAGTAATGAAGGAAACCTCAATGCAGAGCATCCTGGCTGTCATGCACCCTTTTCTCTTTCTTCCCTCCTATGAAATCAGGTGTCGGCAGTTTGTGGAGATGGTGAATGGGACAGACAGTGAAGTACGTTGTTTCAGTGCCCGCAGCCCCAGATCCCAGGACAGTTACCCTGGGTCCCCCAGCTTAAGTCCTAGGCATGGATCAAGCAACTCACACGTTCATAGTACTGGTAAGTGTGTTCTGTGTGTCTCCTGGTGAGAAGAACAAATGTTAAAGATTGACTGCTGTCCATTACCTGCTACTTTCTGTACATTATTCTATGAAATGCTCCTTTCCTTTCTGATACCCAGCTGAGAGGACATACTGTTGTTGTGGGTGTCTCTATACTGTTACAGAATTGGGTTTGCATTAGTTACTTTCCACAGGCAATTGTCTGCAGAGCAGATGTTTTTCAGAATAGAGAAGCTTTTGAAGGTGGCCTTCTAGTGCAGCCACTAGTGGCTCAGTGTTTCACTGACCAAGCTGTAAGAGGAGGTCTGAAAAACAAAGCCTGTTTCCTGTACCTTGGAGTTTGCAAAAGAATTGCTTTCCAGTAAGGACCGAGCAGAAGACGCACTGTTCAGGCCAACTGAGCAAAAGGTTAGGGGGATGCCCTGAATGAGAGCTTCTCCTTCTCCCATGGACTCTACCTTGAAAGCTCTAAACATGTGAGAAGGGAACAGTTCTGTACCTGCAAAACCCATCTCTGAAGCATCAACTCTTTGCAGTTTGGGAAATGAAACATTAGGGTTTGAAGTGGAAAGAACAAGATAAACCAGGACACCCAAGCTATCTTCCCTAGGTAATAACTGACTACAGCTTTGAAGATGGAGTGGGCCAGGGAGTATGACCTGCAGAGCCCCTGAAGACAGTCTGAGCTGCTTCACTGAGCCTTGAGCTACTCACAGCCATCTTGTGTATTTTGTTTTGGTATTCCTGGTGCTGTGTGTGACAAACTGTGGACAGGCAAACATTTAAGGGAAAGGAAGACAATTACTTGAATGCCTCCAAGCTGTCACTCACCTTCCCAAGCCAGTATCTTTGTGTTCCTATATTGTGCTGTGAGAAACCCTGGGTCAGAATGATCCCATCAGTTCATAAAAGCTCTTGGTAACGCCTTTTTTCAACCGGGAGATGCCTACATTAAAAAGAAAAAAAAAAGCAACACAAGACAGCATTCATATATAGAATCATAGAATAGTTTGGGTTGGAAGGGACCTTTAAAGGTCACCTAGTCCAACCCCCCTGCAGTGAGCAGGGACATCTTCAACTAGATCAGGTTGCTCAGAGCCCCATCCAACCTGACCTTGAATGTTTCCAGGGATGGGGCATGTACCACCTCTCTGGGCAACCTGTTCCACCACCCTCATTGTAAAAAAATTTCTTCCTTATATCTAGTCTGAATCTGCCCTCTTTTAGTTCAAAACCATTACCCCTTGTCCTATCGCATCACGCCCTACTAAAAAGTTTGTCCCCATCTTTCTTATAAGCCCCCTGTAAGTACAGAAAGGCTGCAATAAGGTCTCCCTGGAGCCTTCTCTTCTCCAGGCTAAACAACCCCAACTCTCTCAGGCTTTCCTCATAGGAGAGGTGTTCCAGCCCTCTGACCATCTTCATGGCCCTCCTCTGGACCTGCTCCAACAGGTCCATGTCTTTCCTGTGCTGAGGGCTTCAGAGCTGGACGCAGTACTCTAGGTCAGGTCTCAGCAGAGCAGAGTAGAGGGGCAGAATCACCTCCCTCAATCTGCTGGCCACACTGCTTTGGATGCAGCTCAGGATATGGTTGGCTTTCTGGGCTGCTGCCTCCCTGGGGCCCAGGTTAGGGACGTTACTAAGAAACTCACCGATCTGGTATGGCCCTCCAATTATTACCCACTGCTGGTTGTACAGGTTGGCAGTGATGAGTTTGCGGAGAGAAGTCCAAAAGTGATCAAAAGGGTCTTCAGGGCACTGGGGCGATTGGTTGCAGGATCAGGAGCACAGGTAGTGTTTTCCTGTATCCCATCAGTGGCAGGGAAGAATGCTAAATGGAATGGGAAAACTCGCCTGATTAACAAGTGGCTCAGAGGCTGGTGCTATCAGTGGAATTTTGGTTTCTTTGGTGATGGGGAGGCTTACAAGGCACCGGGCCTGCTGGCAGCAGATGGAGATCAGCTGTCTCCAAAGGGGAAGAGGATTCTTGCCCATGAGTTGGCAGGACTCATTGAGAGGGCTTTAAACTAGGCTCAAAGGGGGAAGGGGATATAACCAGGCTCGCTAGAGAGAAGCCCAGGGATGGCATGGCAACACTGGGGGTGAAATCGATAGCCTGCCTCAAGTGCATATACGCCAATGCATGTAGCATAGGCAACAGACAGGAGGAGCTGGAAGCCCTTGTGCAGCAGGA